GCTTCTCGCCCCCCCCCAGCACCCCCCCTGCTGCCCTGCCCCAGGCATCCCCAAGTCAGCCGCTGCTGAAACTGACCAGTGGCTGACTACAGGAAGCCTCTGCCCCGGGCTTCCTGGAATCAGCCGCTGATCAGTTTCAGCAGCAGCTGACCTGGGGACGCTTGGGGTTCTTAAGTTGATTCTGTATGCAAGTCGGAACTGGCGGTCAGTTTCAGCAGCGGCTGAATCTGGACGCCAGTTCCGACTCACATACAGATTCAAGTTAAGAACAAACCTACAGTCCCTATCTTGTACGTAACCCGGGGACTGCCTGTATTTGCAGGACTGGAGCCCAAATTGATTTGGCATTTCACTTCCTGAGTATAAAGGATATCAGGCAGGAACCAGACAAACCAGGTCATAGACATCCAAAAAATGGAACTTAGCATGAAAACGGCTGGTAAATATTTTAGGCTCTTGAGTCCCACAAAATGCCTGAAACACATGAAAAAAATATCTACTTCCAAATCATATACATTCACAGGAAAATATTTAAAAATATATTATAAACACTTTACTCATGGTCATTTTAAGTCTCCATTTAAACTGAATTAAAAATTACTGTTCAAAAAGCTTTTGTGGCGTTCTGTGACACGTCACCTACAGTGGTTCACTGTAAAGGAAATGTCACAACTATGTTTCAATCTAATACATGGTATCATAACTGGCTTCATTATTGAATCCAGTTCCTATGCCATGCCAAGGGTACTGTCTATGCTAACTCCTACACAAAAGCAGATACTGGATGCAAGGTGTTGAAATGAAATAGGGGGGAGGGGAAGATTTCTCAGACAAAATCCAGGATAGCTAACTTACATTTCTGTAATTACTGTTACAGGGTAAGCTCAGCATGTATCAAGATCAGACCCTCAACAATAGTCATGTTTAGTTTATTTTTGCATGTGTCATTCATTTAAAATGGAACAGTATGTCTGAACAATTCTTATCTACCACTTACATTTACTGTTACAGAAAGATTAAAGAGTTTTTTATATTTGTAACTTTGCTAGCATCTTTTTTTAAATAAATATTTCACCTTAGGATTCTTTAAAAACAAAGCAAAACTTAAATAATTAATTTTCTACTACCCAGTTAATTTACCTTCAGCTAAAGTGAACCTATAAGACCCTCTGTGGGAATACTGTAAGAGATAAACAATAATAATTCTTATATAAATACATGCACAGAAAAGTAAGTGCACAAACCTTGTAAGCAGAGCCATCCCGAAAAATATGAAGAGAAGCATGCTTCCTTTCAAAAGCCAAGAATCAGAATTTAAATCCGCTATGTACCCTATAGCCCATATGAGTGTCAAGGAAGACATCAATAGCAGAAAAAACTATTAAAAAAAAGATTACTGTTACAACACCATACCAAAAGTATTACACGAAGTACAAAGCAGCAGATGACAGCAGACACAAAAATTAATGGAAATACAAAGACAAAAAAAAGATTCTCTGAGGACTAACAAAACAAATCAGGAGAGCAATATCACTACATTTTGCATTCAAGTTTTACTTCTGCATCTTTAACTCATCTATTCCTCAGTCTTTTGGAACAGAAAACAGATTGTTTTAAACTTCTTAAACCAAAGGCAATACAAATACAATATTACTGATTATGTTAAACTTCTTAAACTAAATACAAAATTACTACAGGTTGAACATCTCTCTAACCTGGCACTCTCTGGTCTGGCATGATTTTAATTAGTCAATGTCCACTTATAGGCATAGCCAAGTTTGTTTGGCAAATTCTCTGGTTCGGCACTGGTCAAGTCCAGATGGTGCCAGACTAGAGAAGTTCAACCTATAGTTTCAAAGTTTCTCTTAAAATTGTGTTTCACAGGAAATAAGTGTACTATTTTTCTAATGAATGGAAAACTACAAATTAAATTGTTACCACACTTAAAATTATAAAATTTTCTAACTCTTTATCACATTACTCAAGAAAATGCCCATCATACCACCTAATAAAAAGTACTAAAATTTCAGCAAAGATTAATTTCTTATTGCACATCTCAAAAAAATTCTCAAGCTACATTTTGAAACCAGTTTATTTTTCTTACTGGAATTAAATCACATAAAACAATTTACATACTATGACTATATGAACTCCCAAAACAGATACAGAAGAGTGCTCGACCACTTAACAATATTTACACAAGAATAAGGACATAGGCCTAAATGTTCAAAAGCTGCTAATGATTTCTACGTGCCCAACTTTAGATATCTTCAAATCCTGACTCCTTCTTAGAAGTCTTAAGTTGGGCATCCAGAAATTGAACCCCACCTCAAAAGTCACTTAAAAATAAACCCTCTTCCCAATGGCTTCAGCAGAAGCAAGATCATACTCCAGAATTCAAACATTAACATGCATTTTAAAATGTTCACTGATTTATTGCATTAATTGTTCCTATAGGAAAATACCTCATATTTTGCTAACATCATGAATAACCTAGAGTTTTTTCTAATTCTCATTTTTTCTTCTTCCGTTAGCATATGAATGATCAAGCGATTTTGAACATGGTGAGCAAGGTCAAGTGGTGTGTCTCCCTTTAAAAACAGAAATTAAAATTTATTTTTCTAAACGTATTGAACGCTTAAATAACTACCTTGATACCCAAGAAGTAACAAATATTATGAAGTGAAAAATGGAATAATTTGATGCAAGTTTGTTTTTCAAACTAATTTAGGTTACTAGTGGCAGATTGACTGCATAGGCACAGTACAATTAAGACAAGCAAGTAGTTCTTGTTGCAAATGTTTTCAGAGCCAACAAATCTGATCAGATATACTGACTATGAAAAGATGCAATAATAAGACGTTCTAGCAAAGCCGAAGAAATATTACATTCCCAATAGTAAGGCAAAACAAGTATAAACAGTATGATATTCTAGGATTCTCACATGAAAATGGGAAGATATGAAGTGCTTCCAAGTATGGGTAGGCAGACATGCACTCATTCGGATTAAGCTAGCGCATGAAAAAGAACAAGAGTGGCCGTCCACACTGAAATAAGCTCTCTTTAAGGGTCTCAGTCTGGATAGCTAAAATGACATGTCACTTTAGGAAATCTCTGCCTTAGTATCTAATCCTCACAATTTCCATCAGTGGTAAGTATCATGGGTGTCATCGCATAGTCCATTACCTGAATTAACCTGGGTTTATCAGTTAATCCTATCAACTACATGCACTGCCCCCTCTTGCTGCTTGTGCATCCGAGACAGCACAGGGTGTGGGAAGGCGGCAGCAGATACTCACGGGGAGCTGGGTCCTGCATAGCCACCTGCACATCCTCCCAACCCTGTATCCCACAGAGGCAGTGGACAAGGGTGAGGTTGGGGCTGGCATGTGTGGAGAGCTGGCTTTTGTACTGGCTCTCTGTGCGTGCTGGCTCCCGCAGAGCCACCTCCCCTCCTCCTCCTGCCTCCCATAGAGACAGCAGCATGGGGTAGGAGGGGCAAGAGGGAGCCAATGCGGGTGGGTGCCTGCTTAAGAGCTAGCTCCCCACGAGCACCAGCTCCCACAGAGTCACCTCCCCCTCCCATGCTGCTGCCTCTGACAGAGAGGTAGCAGCACAGCGGATGACGGGGCAGGTGGGGACCTGTACATGTAGTAAGTGGCTTTCAAGCTGGCTCCCTGTGTACATCTGCTTCCATGGAGCCGCCTGCCCCTCATGTATATTGACTCCCGCAGAGCTGCCTACCCCCTGAGCTGGTGCGCCTTTAGCAGAGGCAGTGAGTGGGAGCAGGTGGGACCCAGTGCTCGTGGCGAGCTGGCTTTTAAACCTGCCACTTTTGCAGGTAAACATGTAACCACTAAAATTTCCAGTAATTACACATTTACACTAATACCCAATAGTTAACATCCCTAGTAAGTATTATCACATTTTACCGATAGGAAAACTGAGCCATAAAAGTGAAGCGGCTTGTCTAAGATAAAAGGACACTGGTGTTCACTGAAGTACTGTAGCCAAGAGCTGTGTGTAGTCAACCTCTACACCACACAAAAATAAATTCCCACCTACATTTTTGAAAAATTGAACAAGAAAGTCAACTGTTATACTTGTGTTCAGATTCCCCATTATAATGACACTAAGATCTGAAGTGCCTGAAAGATGATTAGATGGAGCCCTCAGATTGTTTTCTGAAGTAATTTCACATTGCTGAACTACACAGAATGACGGGTAATTTAAAGAATTGTACCTTGATGTTTTTGATGTCCAAATTAGATCCAGCATCCAGCAGTAGCTCTACAGCACTAACATTTCCTGCTGTAACTGCCCAATGCAATGCAGTATTCTTCTGAATTTTGTCTACAGTGTTGAGTGAAGGATTAAACTTTAGAAGAAATCCTGTGGGTTCTGGTCTAAATGAAAGGATATACAGACTTGTTAGCAAAAACAAGAGACAACTAAGACTAGAGATAAACATATTTTTAAACACATTATAAGCTAAATGAATCCTCACATCATTGTCCCTATACTTTTTTAGGGTGGGAACAAAGAGGGACACATTTGTCAGTAACTTGCCCAGGACTACTCAGCTAATGAGTAACAGAGTCCTGAATTCTAATCATGACATCTCAGTAGTTCAGGGGTGGGGAACCTTAGGCCTGGGGACCAGAGGCAGCCTCTGACTTGTCTGGATCCGGCTCCCAAGGCTCAGAGCCCCCCACAGGACTGGAGCATACAAAATCTACTAGGCTGGGCTCCCCTAGGCTCTGGTATGCGAGGGGAATGTGGGGAGTGTCTTTCTTCTTCTCAGTTGGGCACCACATTAGTGAGGGTTTTTTGTGTGTGGCCCTCGACTGATTTTTCTGTGGGTCAGTGACTCCCAACAAAAAAGGGGTTCCCCAGTGATTTTTCTGTGGGTCAGTGATTCCCAACAAAAAAGGGGTTCCCCACCTCTGCAGTAGTTGTTTCTCTAAACTTCACTACCTTCTACTTCTCTCATGTACAAATGTCAAAGCTGGATGTCCTGATTCTATAATAAGGTAACTTCCATATCAGGGGAGCCTAGAAATTATAAAACACTCTTGAGATGTCAAGTTGGTTATTCTTCTACCAGGATTGTCTGCAACGGTGCACCATAAATCACAGCTTGGGGATGAAACACAGTCAAGCCAATGCACAGCTACAGGAACTCTGGACAGTCTGGAGAGTAACCTGTTGAGCCTGGTCCCCTTTTGTGATCAAGGGGACAAGGAGGCAGATGCGGCAATGGATTCCTAAATGTATTAAGTGTGTAAGTAAATTTTCCACCAATGTTTCCATTCTGTGAGGATATAGTTTTTAGCTCCCCATTGGCATCAAGTGTGTCTGGAAAACGGAAATCAAGCTCTTGTCCCAAAGCATAGGAGATGCTGTAGCAAAGGGATGTTCCATGTGATACAATGGTTGATTTTTCCAGTTCATAGTAGTGGGATTCCTGCCTTAAATATGAAGAATCCTATAAGTTGGTACTAAGCATTGTTTCCTATGTGAAAATAGGGCAATCAGTCTGCCAGAGATGAAACTGGTTTTATCTGTCACAGCTCTCCAAGTGAGCTAACAGTAGTTGCATCTGAAAGGTATGTAGAAGCTACGTGCACAAGCACATACAGTCTGGATATCAGTATATAATTTAAGCAGCTAATAGCACGAGTTTCCAAATTCAACTTAGTATCAACAAGTTTGATGGCTGAAAAGCTAAACAATTATTCAGCTAGAGCAAACACCAGCACAATAAAGATGTAAAAAGGACTGAAATCTCTGTTCCCTAGGAGGGTTCTGATAGTTTGTATTAGGGGAAGAGATTTTCATTTTTTGGTTTTGCAGGTGGGGTTGATATAATCAGATCACTGTCAAGTTTTGCTCCCAAATATGTGATAAGTGGATGGAATAACTAGATTGAATACCCCGCTGTTCAAATGCTAGTAAGTATGAGCTGAAAATAGAGTTTTACAGGGTACCAAATTAAATTTGTACTAGCTTAGGGCTCTCCCTTTTTCCTATTGTGATCCTACTTTCAGTTATTTTTCTGGGATTGTGGGAGATGGTTTGTAGGTGCTGGCATTGAAGACTATTAATACTAATACAGTTGCACTAGTGTAGAAAAGAACTTTTCCTAGCAAACACAAGGCTCCATTGACTGTAGTAGGAGTCTTCATAAATAAGAAATAAATACAGGTTCATAGAAGTGCTCATAAGTTGTATTTATAGATGCATTACCTCAATAAAAAAAAACAACTCTTTAAAAAAAAAAAAAAAAAAAAAAAGAGAGATCTACCAGTCAACTGTAAATTGGGATGAAACTTTTGGCATTTGTTGCCTCCCAGTAAAATGATATATTTTCTTCTTTTAAAAAAAGCTTATCAATTATCTGTGTACAAGAAGATTAGTAACTTTTTAATTATTCATTACTTACCCAATTACTTTCTGTGCTGACAACATAAGAGGCGTTTGGCCGCTGAAATCTGTTGTATCTATACTCTGAGTATGAAAAGATATTGAGATTATTACATACAGATTTATTTGCAAGAGTTCAGAAAATAGAAGATAGTGTACCTGATGCTTAGCTGACACAAACTGACATAATTCTAGTAAGGTTAGCGGAGCTAGCCCAGTTGAAAACCTAGAACTTATTCTAGAAGTAATTAGAGATGTTAAATTAGATTAACTAACTAATCGAATAGTTGATGGGATTTCCACCTAAACGCACCTCCGACTAAAGGCACCTCCACCTTTGGGATTTCCTACTTAAGACACCTCCACCTTTGAACTGTAGCAAGAGCTGTGCTGGGCTCTTGCTGCAATTCAAAAGCAGAAGCCCCACAGGGAGCATGGGGCTTCTGCTTTTGAAATATACAAGAGCCTTAATGGGACTCTCATACATTTCAAAAGCAGAAGCGCAGCAGAAGAGGTATGAGTGGAGACTGCTCAGTGCCTGCCCACGCTGTTTCCCGGTGTGCCTCTACCTCACCTGCCCCCCACAGAGATGATGCTGGGGGGAAAACCAGCTTTTAAGCCAGCTCCCCCCAGCACCGGCTCCTGTTCTCCCCCCTTGCTGCCTCTCTCTGACAGAGGCAGCAAGGGGGAGGGAGGGAGAGAGTGACTAGTCACATCATTAGTCACTTACATCCCTATAAGGAATTGCTTACCCCTTCCTCTCTCTTGAGTCTTTATGTCCAAGTTTAGTTCCCTGGTCCAGCAACCTCAGGACCTGATTCATCCCAAAACAGTCAATTTGCCAGACCAGGGGAGAGCAGTTCTGCTCTTGGTTGCAGGGCTCCACTCCAGCAGAGTAGATAGGCCAGCAGTGCAAGCACATGGCAGTGTTCTGGGCTATACTCTAGTCCCTCCTCCCCCACCTGCAGAGTTGGGCTCCTTGCCCCTGGGTTTCTCTTCCCCCGAGCATCACCCAGTCTCAGCTCCTCCCCATCCCTCCCTGAGCTTGAACGCTGCAAATTATTTTCTCCCTTTTGGCATACAGACAGACCCACTAGAATTGCACATTCATATTTTGAAAGCAAGAATTCAGGTTAATTTACAAATATGAAGTATATTGAACACAGATTGGATCTAAGTGGATTTTTTTAAGTATTTGAAGATTCCCATAGCAACTGAGATAATGGAAGAGTCTTCTTAAGCCTGACTGTGGCATACAACATCCATACCTTGACTCCACAGATTACAATTATTTTAATACAATAGGGTTCAGGATAGAAAGAAGACATGTTTATCAGTCTGTAAAATCTTATTACAAAACATTATCTGAGCAAAGGCTACAATCCTGCAATTACTTATGCACATGCCCAATTTTACTCACAAGAGAAACTTCAGCTGGACTACTCACATGAATTAAGTTACATACATGTAAGGGTTTCACAATGTTATCCAGCAAATAATTACACAGTCTCACGTCTACCTTTAAATTTAGCTAGATGTTGGGGTATAGTGATGAAGTTTTTAAAAGAGCTAAGAGAGGACTGGAAAATATTTAAAGAGAGTCAAGCGGATCATATGTTTTGTGAGCTTGAAATAACCAACTGCTACATGGAATACCAGTTATTAACTGAATAATGAAGTACTGTCTTTTAGTACGTGTTTCAAGAATATATTGTCAGTTATTGGGAATTAATGTCAGTTATTTATATTGCACTATAGGTTTGAGTGATGCTGTACAGGATTGATTATGTATTTTGACTTCTAAAAAGACAGAAAGATGTTAAAAAAACCCAGAAGAGGGGGCGTGTGTGTGTGTGTGTGTGAGAGAGAGTGAGAGTGAGAGAGAGAGACAACTTGTACCACAGTGAATACTTCCTTAAAAACTGCCTACCAATGAGGCAGTTTTTCATTTAAAATAGATAAAATATATATGCAAAACAGACAACTAAGTAGGAAACAACACAATATACATTTGGGACATCTGCTGCATATCCAAAACATACCTGGCCTTTTGATATGAGATAAGCTATTATAGGCATATGCTGAAAGACCACTGCTAAGTGAATGCCACTGTATCCTTCACCATCAATAAGAGTAGGATCTGCTCCACATTTTAACAACAATATAACCATAGCTAAATGACCTTCCCTGAAAAGAAATAGGAAATCTTTAATAAGTAGACAAGAAATTATGGAAGAGCACTGTTCTAATTCATATTAAATATATTTTGAGACTGATTGACCTACCTGTGGAAAACCCCAGGGAAAGCTTTAAAAGAAACTTGGTAAGTTTAATTTAGACTATATTCTAAAAGTATATTTAAACCAATGATTGTAATTAAACCTTCAGAGCAGTGCTGAATATTTACTAAGAATTTACTTTGCTGTCTGTCCTAGCATTTCAATTAATAGTTAACAAAAGAATTAAAATTTTACATGTGAAAACACTGTATCAGTTACTGTGAGAAGTCTATGTCTTTTGCTTGCATAATCATGAATATTTTATTCTCATTCGTGTGTACTCAAGGCATCTATGGAACATTTCAGTTCAGCTATTTAAACTGGAATCATATCTCTGGATATTGGTGATCAAACTTAAGACCACAAGTCTGAGTTACTAAAAACTCAGGTTAATTAATTTGAAGTGAAACAGCTCTTTAGGAATAGCTCGCAGAGTGGACACATTTATTTCAAAATTGATTACATTAAACCAACAAAAGGTATTCATTCTGGAATAAGAATTTCCACACCGCGAGCTATTTCAGTTAATTTTCCTATGTAGATAAAAACTATATTTCATTTCCTAACCAGCTTACTGTCTTCTTGATGGACAAAGGGTATGTTCTGAAATTGCATTACACCCACCTGATCTAACTAACGTGCTAACTTGCACATTTTTAGGTGTCTAGCACAGACATAGCACAGTGCCTTTAATACAGACTAAGCTGATCAAACTGAAGCCTGAGTTCCTCCCTTAAATCCCATTCTAGCACACAAGCTAACACATTTGAATCATTAGTTGGCCATGTTGTATCCTGGGCAGTCCTGGTTACCATGTGGCCAACTAACTTGTTTTCAGAATGGTGTCTTAACAGCCATTAAGAGGAATTTTCACTCATATTATGGCAATACACATTACAAAAATCTTTTTTCCTATTAAGACAAGACATTGGAGATAAATTCTGAATATTTAGCATTGCTCCACCCATAGCATAGGTCAAAACGTTGGATGTACCTGAATAAAATACATAACTAAATCATAACATATTTTGCAAGCTCCATAACCTGGGTATCTGAGGGCAGGTTTGAGTGCTAATATACATACACAGGCTACAAATTCTTTGTTCCTAAATAAAAGAAATACAGAACTCACTAGGATGGAGATATTAACTAATAAGCAAACAGCAGATGCATTGTTTCATTTAATATCAACACAAGCATAATTGGCATCTGTAAGAACTATACCTTATGGCCCAGTGAAGAGGAGTTGAATTTAAATCTCCACCTAGTTGATCCACTACTGCACCTTTGGAAATATAAAACCTGTTTAACAGTAATAAAATAAAAACACTGAGTAAATAAGAGACAGATGGAAAAACCAAAACTTAGAGAAGAGACTGCCCTACTTATGATTATTGTTGTAATAATGATACTTTCACTAGACAGGCAAATGCACAAAGATAATTTTACTTTAACAATGACTGTTTTGAAAAGATGCGGCATTTCAAAAAAACACAGTATCAGCAATGCAATTATGACATCAAGCACTGCACTACTGCAATTTTTATGCTATGCAATTCATTAGATTCACACTACCTAGACCTCCCCCCCACATTTTGAATCTGCACTGTGCATTCTTGGTAGTGACATCAAACAAATGCTGAAATATTTGCTGGATTGGATGCTTAGGTTCCAGCCCTTCAAGCTGCTTCACGTGAGTGGACTTCAGCATTTCTGCCAAGCCCCACTTAAGTCAACAGCAATTCATCTGCATGGATCTAATCATTTAGGACTTAGCTACATGGGATGTTAGTGAACTACAGCGAGGTGTAAATTCTAATGGAAGTCAGACACTAACCGGCTCACACAGATACCGCTGGCGCTCACTAAAAGTTCCCTAATGTGCACTGATGTAGTCCTGTTACAAACAGTACTACGTTAACATGCAGAAGGGAATCTTTAATGCATATCAGCAGGGTCTACATCGTTCAGTTAGTGTGCAATATGCTGGTGTTCATCAGAAGTTACACCCTAATGCACCATGCACCTAAGCCCTTAGAGAAAACAAAACAACAGAAATATACTGTTGAATATAATTAACATTATATATAAAGGGTTAAATTCTGCAAGGCACTGCATACCCTATACTATTATGGACTTTAGCCTGATTGGACCTCAACATGTGAAATCTTTGTTGAAAGTTCCATGTTAATACCCCATTTTACTAATTAGAAAGAAGCAGTTCCAACTGCTCTCTCTTTCTCTACTATCCAAGGAAGTAACTTGAAGTTCCAGAGAGTAAAAAAAAATCTCATTTGAAATACCTATTAAGATATTGGCAGTCAAATGAAGGGTTTAAAATTTCATTTTCTATCAGAAATGTGCGTGTTCAGAACATACCGGACCTCATGTTTTGCACAAATTCACACTCAAAGAACGTAAACAGTAAACTATACAATTTCAGGGGTATAACCAATGCAGACTAGAAAAGGTAAGTGTATTTTATAAAACTATATAAAAAGAGTATATACTATAGGGTTCAGTTGGTATGAAATATAACAGAAGTGAACATGAAAGAAAAATATTTTGCCTAAGTTATTTATTTACAAACATATGGTCATATACACACATATATGCAATAGCTTACTTTACAAGATCCAGTCTGTTGTTTATTGCTGCCCAGTGAAGAAGTGTCACATTTTCTTTGTCTGGTTGTCTGACATCATATCCTGCTTCCACCAATTCCTTGCACCGATCCAATATGCCATATCTTAAGAAAAATATTCAGTTTTAGATGTGATTCTTCAGTATTTTCCAATATAGAGGTTTTCACATATTCAAAAAACCCAAACAAAAAACCCACCACCACCCACTAAGGGTCTAATCCAGAAGTTTCTACTCAGGCAACATTTCCTGTTGTGTCAAGTGAACATTTTTCTGAGCGAGTTAGAGCGCTAAGTTTCCTCTAAGCTGTATGGGAACTTAGCACTGGAGCAGAGGTCCTTCTACAACTCACATGGAGCTGCCTCAGAGCTGCTACAGGTGGGGACAGGTACCCCCAGCCCTCTCTCCCCAAGGCAGCCTTCACCCCAAATGTCAGCACCACCCCAGAGGCCACACTCCCAGCCGGTGCTCTCAGCCCACATCCCAACCCTCTGCCCCAGCCCTGAGTTTACTCCTACACTCAAACCCCCTCATCCCTAGCCCCACTCCAAAGCCTGTACCTTCAGACAGAGCCCTTATCCTCCTGTACTCCAACTCTCTGCCCCAACCTGGAGTCTCCTCCTACCCCCCAACCTCTAGACATCACCTCCACCACACGCTGTCTATGTACAGAATGACTTTTGTTATGTGCACCAATATGAAGGTAATGTATCACAATCATAGCAAAAGTCATTTCGCACATGATCATAAAAAAATCAGAGAGAACACTGACTGACACACAAAACCTTACGCTAACTGAAACTAATCTAATTTAGCTATAGCTGTTTTAGCATGGTTTTAGTTTTCTAATATTTAAGGGAGGAATCACATCATCTGATCAGTTAAGAAAGAAATATTTTAAATGGCTTTAACTTTCAAAAATTCCATTATTTAATATGAACATACCAACTGACTTACTGTGTAGCTTTGACAATATCACAGTTACTGTAGTCTTCCGGAAGTGGAAATGTTGCTTGCATTTTCATTTGATCTTTATCTTTGTGGACGCAATGCCAATTCTGTGCATGAGGTCCATGGGGGCCATGGCTGTGATTTTTACACTGTAGGTTAACAATGAAAATATTTACCAATATATATTATTTAAATTAGACACTTTGTGGAAGGGTTTTGTCTTCCCTAGGCAGAAAGCACCCAGCACAATTGGACTGAGGGAAGCAATATATCAATATAAACAAATCAGTAAATGTAAAGACCTCAGTAATTTGCATCAATTAAGACACTAATTCTGCATTTATTGCCTATGTGGCAATCAGAACCTCACATGAATATGTCTAAGAAAAAAAAGAATGTATTTATAATAAAACTATTCTGTAACAATGGTTTCAATGTTTACACAAATAGAGTATAACTTTGTGTTGTAATGTGCAAGACTCATTCAACCAATGAAGAGAAAGTTACAAAAACTCTGTAATATATTGTGCTCATTTCCTAATGAAAGTAACAAACATATTTATTTCCCTTTCTAAAAATGTTGTGAAAATCAACTGTTATTTTTTACTTCAGAGAAGACTGCATTTTAATACAAAAACAATGATTTCTACACAAATAGGCTAAGATTTTGAAACTTAAGTAACTACAGTTACCGACCAGTAAGCAGTAATTTTGGCACCGGTGACCTTATTTTCACAGGTGCTGTGCTCCTGTAGAACACTGAAAATCAGTTAAGAATGTAAACATTCTGGGTGTGTCTACACTGAAGAGCTTAACTCGAGATAAGCTATGCAAACTGAGCTATGTCAATTGCGTAGCTTATTTAGAAATAGCTTATTTCAAAACAGGGAGTGTCTCCACAGCACTTATTTCGAAATAGAGCACTTTTCCTTGACTTTCCTTATTCCTTGTACAATGAGGGTTACATCATCCAGAGTAAGAAACCCTCCACTTTGAGATTATTTTGACACTATTTCTAAATAACTGCCCACTGTGTAAACAAAGACTAAGTTATTTTGGAATAGCACTCAGTGTTTCGAAATAGTGTTTCAGTGTACACGTACCCTTAGTTGTTTGACTATATGGTTAAATCTGCTTAGAAAAGGAAAAAGGTTCTTATTCATAATAGGATCTACTTGACACTCCTAACTGAGTAAGGAGTTGCTAACCACCATACTTGTCATTACAAGTATATCCAACTTTCAGTTTGCTCTGACGATATTTTTCATTAGCTGTACAATATTTTGTTTCCAGGTGCAACCCAATTTTTCCTTTCCCTGCCCCAATTTAATACACTCTTTACAAATTTCTGGGAAGTTCCCGGCAAAGACTGAGGCCATTTGTTGGCTCTCTCATATCTTAAATGCGGAGTAAAATTGGGGGTAGAAAGTGTGGGTGGAAACAGTACAAAGAAAAGCTACAGCAAGGTAAAAGAAGCAGGCGAGGAGAGAGAAGCAACAGGGAAGCCCACCGCTTCTACCTATTCTCCAACACACCAGCAGCAGCTGGAGGCGGACACCAAGAACAGTGGCAAGGGGGCAGGGACCTTTATTTTATGAAGGGAGCGGGCACGGCACCAGTGGAGTTTGCGGAACCGGTGCCTTCGCCTTACGAAGGGGGACTGGCGCCCCTCTACTGACACCTC